CTGGGTTTCAGTTGCTCGAGTACCTGAACTGTGAATATTTTGCTCAATTAGCTTCTCTCCCAGGGAGCTATGCAGTGGGACAATGGCACTGACACCGGAAGTCTGGGCTAGATGATGTCCCTGAGGTGTCAGATCCTCTCCCAGGATTGAAGGTCCTCTGCCCCTCCCCTCTACACAGTAGTGTAGTATTAGCTGTGTGTATCCTGCAGGGCGTTACTGTAGTTTTATGTTGGTACACATGGCAGTAACTTACACAAATTGAAGCGAAGTCATCCCATTGCAGAATCTTTTGACAATTTCCCACTTGTGACTTTTGTTATGTGCTTACTATGCACACGTCATCATATAGAAACCAATTACATCAGTTACCTCGTCACAGGAGCATAACTGAGTCATTAAAGGAGGAGGGCCTGCCTTTGCATGTGGGTACCCCTGAGCCCACTCCTCAGCTCTGGAGAGCAGGACGTCACTGGTGCCCATCTGCTGAGTGTCCTGGGAGCATCACTGCCCTAGTTGGCCCCGACAGAACTGCCTCTTCATTATACTAATGTAATGTTTAAAGTTTTTATAGGAGATCAAACCTTGGTCCACATGCAATTACAAACAAGCACCGCAGCATTGAACTACACACACAGACTTAGTATTTTAAAATTTGAATGATAATTTTAAAAAAACAAATTTTTCTTGTACTATCACCAAACACTTAGCCGAGTGTTATAAATCTTTGAGTCGACACTGCTTTAGCCAGATACCATTAGCAGGATCTCCTTACTCATTTTCCTCGGAATGGTGCATAAAGTTCCTTTGATGTTAGGTTTCCTTTGAGATTCTTTTTACACTCCGTCCGTGAAGGCAAAGTAGTAGATGCTCCTCAGGAAAGTGCATCCTGCCTTCAGGTAGTGACCTTCTCTTCCCAGGCTCACATTCATTTTCCTTTGTGGAACTCACACAAGGTCATTTTGATCTGGACAGGCAGTTAAGCATTCATGCATCTGCATTAAACCTACAGCAAGCTTTAGAGTGACAGTGAGCTTTGTCATTTAATGGTGTTTTTCTAGATAGAGAACCTATTTCTTTTGGAAGATACTTGGCTGAAGTGAGTAGACTAATATTGTACGTCTGTAACCTCAGAGGGCACTCAGAATCACTGAGCATGCTCTTTTCTGTTTTTCTTTTTTTTTTCTTTTCTGTTTTTCTTTTTTTTCTGTTTTTCTTTTCTGTTCTCTTTTCTGTTTTTCTTTTTGTATGTGCTCTGGTCATGTACTACAATTTGGCCTGGATCTTACTCTGTAGAATAGGCTGGTTTAGAACTCACAGAAATCCTCCTACCTCAGCTTCCCAAGTGTTGGAGATGCGTGCTTCTGCCCCAAGCCCAGGCCTCGCTTCATTGTGTAGATGAGGGAATGCAAACCTAGGGCAGGGTGGTACCTTTGCAGGGAGCACACAGAATTTTCTGTGAGCCAGTCTACTTCTTGGGACCATGTGCCCTGGATCCTGAGCCCCAGGCCTGTCAGCTCTTCATCACTTACTGCCACCTCTAGCCTAAACGATACGCTGAGAGAAGGCTCTGAAGCCACCAGTCACTCACTCCTAACCCAAACTGGGGTCATTTTGCCCCTAGGAAAACAATGAAGCTCTCTTGCAAGCACTCAGTATTCTCATGCCTGCATTTGCCCATTCTTGTAATTCTCCCCCTCCTTCCAAAAGGCTGAGTGAACTTTCTCCACCACAGCCTCCATCTCACAGATCTCTTTCAAAGCCCAGTCTTTCAACAGGCAATTCACGAGCAAAAGGCACTGCTGCCTTCATGGTTTATTAACTTTTTCAGGAATCCTGCTCCATCCATAATGGACACACACTGAGAAATGGGTAAGTTCTGTTTTTGTTAACACTCTTAGGCTTGCACATCATGCCAGAGATATGGGTTATTCAGAGTAAGCACAGAGCTGTCACTTCAAATGTACACATTTAATTTCAGTAGTACATCAATGACCATTCTCTGTCTACTGATGCATAAATCTTTTTTTTCCATAATTTTATTGAGAAACAAATAGGATTGAGACAGTTTCAAATCAAATTGGTAGGACAGT